ATCAAAGCTGGTTCTTATAAGAACCAGCCCTTATATAAGGGCCTGTGAATTGCGGTAAATTGTCTCCTTTGTTTTAAATAATGTGTCCAGTTATCGTTTCCAACATGAAAGATTTGGTCAGGATCATAAATCACATGACCGGATCACCAAAGTGTGCATCAAAGTATGCCACACGCTGTTCCCATTGTATGACTTACTTTATTGACATTTGAAATCAAATTGTTTCTCTATCAATGTGTTAAATAGATCTTTGCTGATGAATAACCTACTACTATACCTGAGTCGATTAGTGTAATACAATTCGATGAACTGTTTAACCTAACATAAGCGAATGGCAATTTACCGCTCATATCTACGCAGTTTGCAGTTTGTTTTTGTTGGGAATTTTCGCCTTAATTGTATGAGACCAGGTCCCCTTGTCAATGTTATTTACCATTTTAAAGAACTCCGACAGTTCCTAGCTATACCTCCTTCTTGGTTGTAACGGAAACACCTGACTATTATCTCGGCGGGTCTATTTCTTAAATCGTTTTGCTTGTTTCGACAGAAAAAGGGTTTTCGTGGCCTGCACTTTGAAAGGATGTGCAGGGGAGCTGCGTTGACGTATAGTCTGGTAGACGCGGATCCAAAATATTGTTTTTCCGTCCTACATGGCCTACATTTATTCAAGGCTACTTCAATCACATAGGTCCTTGCCCAACAAGTTAAATTTAGCTGTTGTTCTTGCTCATAAAGGTCCTCTGAAATTTTGATTCAATTTAGTTAAGAATTAAGTAAGTTATGAGCAGTTTAGTGTTTGGCAAGTTTTCATTCAGGTGTGACATGGGTAACCTGAAGTCCCACTAGCCTCAGACTCTGATAAGTGATTGAAGTAATAAATGTAGTTTTGAGCGCGAACGTGATTTACAACAAATGTTGGCAATATTCTGAAAATGTCTCCTCAGCTCGCTGTGGAACGTACTACCAATGTTAAACGCGGACGGGTGCTTGCTGGATTCGGCTATCAACGACAATAGTATTATTTGTATTTCGTTCGCGGCTGTTGTGTCGTAGGCTAACTCAATCGCCTTGATTTCCCTACGACGCGACGCATGGAAGGAATGAATCTATTTAAAATTGTGTCGTGTAAACTATTCCAACCTGATCAAGCATTTACTGAATCGACCCACAACTTAAACAATTGACCCTTGAGCTCGGGCAAAAGCAATTTTATTTATTACGTTCTCGTGAGATAGTAAAACGTTGAAAATAGGTCTCAAATCTTTAAGAAAAGAAACCAGTTCGAATTATTTGACGCATCGATGTGGAATCTATTTTTAACCGACTTCCCCACTACCAACAAAAGGAGGAGGTTCTCAATTTGTTTGTGGCGATGTTTTTTTTTTCTATGTATGTTCACCAATTTCTCTGTGATTCTTTTACCGATCAGTGTGGTTCCACGTTCCACCACCAAAATAACCAGGAGAGTTTCTATTTGGTACCTTATATATTATGTTTCAGTATAATATTTGTTTCGGTGAAAAATTCTGAAAACCTTAAATATTCAACATTTATATTGTTTACATTTGTGTAGATTGTTTACATTTGTGCAGAGAAGGCAATAAATCATAATAACATTCCTACAGCTGTTAGTTGAAACCATTTAAATGAAGCTACAGACAATTTTTCATGAAACAGTTGCTTCATATTGATCAATAAACTATTTCTTGCCATGGAGCCTAAATGAATTACATTGAGAAAAATGCATTTTGTTTTGGTTACTATAAAAAATGTATTTTAACGTTTTACCTGATTTGTGTATACAGTAATTCTGTTTTTAGTATTGAATATTCTGACTTACAAAAACATATATGTTTCAGTGAATAGCTGTATGATATTGTTGACAAATAAAGGTGTATTGTGAAAACCAAAGCATTCGTAAAACAGGTCTAAATATAAATCAAAATGCAATTATTCCTTACACGACCTAAGAAGTGTGACAGTGCATAATTGTCAATTGTCTTAAAAGTGTTAAATATTTTAATTACTAAACATGCATTTGCAGATGTGGAATGTTTATTGATATTCTCTACCCAGTTACTATATCATATCAATACTATTATGCCTGCTTCAGAAAGTCCTAGAGGAAGATGATTTGCAATTTCGACTAGGCTATATCTTGATCAAACAAAACCACCTACATATGGCTTGCACCACTTTTAGCTGAACCAATCTTTCATATAGCCTACATATTTCATTTGCAGATGTGGAATGTTTATTAATATTCTCTACCCAGTTACTATAACATATCAATACTATTATGCCTGCTTCGGAAAGTCCTAGAGGAAGATGATTTGCAATTTCGACTAGGCTATATCTTGAGCAAACAAAACCCCCTACATGACTTAAACCACTTTTAGTTGAACCAATCTTTTAGTTGAATGAAAATATAATATTTTCCAAAGGTAGTATACGAAAGGTACTATAGTGTTAACGACCAATTTTCCACTTTTGAGAGATTTTTTAGTGCTGGTAGCTGAGGAATAACTTTCATATTGTTCCAAAAGGCTTGAGACGTTACTGTATTTCTTTTTATAATGTAGAAGTACACCGATTGCAGGAAACGATGATGTCTGACATTTCAATGTATCTAGAAAAGACAATTAGTTTTTCATTAGGCCTAATGTAATGGACAACTCTTTCTTTCTTAAGGAATATCTAAAGATCTTTATTTCCATACCCATTGATTATGTAACCTGAACAGGTGACTCAAGCAGTTTTAAAATAATGATTGTTCTCTGGAACTTTTGATTGTTTCAAACAGTTTTTCTTATCGAAAATCCTCATGTAATTAATATATAAAAAAATATACAGTCACTAAAAATCATGAAATAATTTATTTTTGTAAAAAAAATACAACCAACTTCAAACGCTCTAAAAAGAATGAAATAATTTCAATAAAGTAAAAACTTTTGTATTAGGCAAGCTCACGTATTTCAAGTCGGCGCGGCTCAAACTGCAAATATGATTGATGTGTGTGTATTTTGAAAATCAATAAATTGTAGCTGGATAACATAAATATATAAAAAAAACATACTGAACTGTTTTATGGTTTATACATTAAAGGAAATATTTTCTTGTATTTTATGTTTACTTCAGAATAAATGCATTATTAAAATAACACACACAAATGTTCTATATGAATAGGAAAATAATTTAGTTTGATATTATGATAGGGAAAAGAAGCTAGTTTAGTATTAAAACGTTACTTTTCCAAGTTAGAAACATTTAAATGCGTTATAATCTTTTTAAAGATACTCGTTAATACCACTATAATACCGATCTCTGATTACGGTAATAAAATAACACTTAACGCATAACTATAAAAAAGACATGCAGATTAACACCTTTAGTTATAGATAGTCACCTGCAATATGGACAACCTCTTTCAATTTTGCATCAAAAATCATCATAGAGCCGCGCCGACTTAAAATACGTGAGCTTGCCTAATACAAAAGTTTTTACTTTATTGAAATTATTTCATTCTTTTTAGAGCGTTTGAAGTTGGTTGTATTTTTTTTACAAAAATAAATTATAGACAAACCTTGTTGGTTGGACCACGCTGGAAAATGATTCATCTGCGAGGGCGCAACAAAAAGAGTCTACTTGCGAGACATTGGATGTGGTGACGACGCGAAAGTCGGGGGGATCAAATTCGTCTAGGTTGCACGGCACGTTCATTCACATATGGATAGACGACCTAAGGGCACGAAATATTCCTTCATCGAGCGTGATGTAATCTATGGCTGCGGAGTCAAAAGAGTGTTGCGATCAAAGAAAAACAGCTTGTTCCAACAATTCGTTGTCTGAGTATATCAAACAATTTCTGTTTGACAAAGTGTTTGAGCGAAGCATGTCGTAGTCTGTGTCGTGCGCAAAGCGCCCTATTTCTTCTTCGGCGAATGCCACATGACCCGTGCGGAGGGAATCTCGTGGAGGGGGAGGGGGTACGACAACTTTGACCAGCTTGTTACCTGTCTCCGCAGGTTCTACACTTTCCCCACTGGACACAGAATTTACAGCTGGATGGCCTCTGTTCACCATCCTGCAAGCTTTGTCACTTGCAGTAGTTAAATACCTCGGCCTAAACAATTGAGGCCTCTCAAAAAATTGTATTCACAAAAAAAGACGCAAAACACACTCTATCTCAGATTGACTCTATACACAAGAATTTACAAATATTGCTATACATATCAATATAAATAATCTCTGGACAAATAAAAAAAAAACAAAAAAAAAAAAACATGTTTCCGAACTAAAAAGAGATAATAATTTATGAATGTACAAAAACGTCGATAAGTCAGTTCAAGACAATGCTTGCCCTCCAAGTGAAGCGTTGCCCATTGTAACTCTTGTCGTTCAAACAGCTGTTTTATATCCTTCCGCAATCGTCCCTGATTGGACCGTTTGGCCAAGGTGTTTGGCACGGATTTTAAATTTGAATGTACAAATCGCCACAGTAGGCATATCATTCTCTTGTAATAAAGGAATTTATCTACAGTGTGAAACAGAGAAAAGTCCATGACAATAGTTTTTTTTTTTTTTTTTTTTTTTTTAATACATACATTACATACATTAAGTACTAAAAAAATAAGAAAAACTAAATATTTGTCTTTATTAACTACAGTATAACCGGTGCTAACATATAACATACTTTAAGTGTCTGACCTGTTTTGATGATTTAGCTACAGTGTTGCACTAACCCATTGACTAATTAATAGTCAAAGACTAACCGCATGATTTATTGTTTACTTTTATAGCATAATGATGTATTTAAATGTAATGTATGTAAGAAACATATTTTTTACATACCATATATACTGCCATAGTGGGAATTATAATGCCATAATTCTCCTCTCCAAAAACTCCAATACATTATACTAAAAATTAATATTGTTATTATTAACAAGGAAGTAAGAGATAAGGTTACTGTATTGTTTAATGTTTACATGTGTGTCCAGGCACTCCGTTCTGTGGCCACTTCCCTCCCTCCTTGTCACCACCTGTGTTTCGCAGCCAGACAAGGACGTTGGTCCTGGCATTGCTCTTCAGTCAGGCTCACAAACATGCTTTCACATTAGAATACTCTTCAGAAAGTAAGTACAGTTCATCAACTCAACCATCTGAAATTATAGCTATTTCTACTTCATTAATACGTTCGCGGCGGCACGTCAAATGGCGGGCGTATTCCCAGTGCGGCGCAGCCCTCAGCGCCGAACAAACCCAAATGCCGCGTGTGATTGGTTTTCCAATTTCGGTCTGACGAATAGCAAATAACGTGCGAGGATGTCCTGCTTTACAACGAGAGTCAACGTAGTTCGCTAAACACCCACAGATAGCAAGCAGCACTGCTTGGAACGTAGCCGGTCCCATTGGAATTGTATTGCCAAATGGAGGGAAAAAGACGGGACAAAAAGTAGATTTTTGAGATTGCCAGACGGGGATTTTACGGGGAAATTTACTACCAACCTATACCACAACAAAATACAGTATACTAATGAGCAGTGCTGTGCGAGGTTTCAAGTTTCTAGATCTAATCCTGGCTTAAAAATAAATCATTTCGTACTGCATTGCAGCTTGGGAGCGATCGCACCCACCAGGATGGCATTAGGGTTCCGTATGGGAGCGATTGCTCCCATGCCGCCGCGAACGTGTTAACAAAAATGTCTTGATGTAAATAACAGATTTCTCATCCTTATGGAACAGCTGAAACCAATTTTATTATTTGTTCTGTCCGGTGCACTGTAGTAGAGGTCATGTTTTGTTTACAATTTGTTTCTTGTTATTTCAGCCATTTAAAACCTTGTTTAACGAAATAAAACAATATAATCATAAAAAATAACTCGTACCCTATAGTTATATAACCAAACAGTAAAGTACAAATTATTAAATTTACCCTGAAATAATAGAAACAAAATTTTGTCGATACTAATGCCCAGTGCCACCGGACATGAACTAGATATAGAAACGAGCTTCAAAATTTACAATGGGATGAGAAGTGTACTTGTGGTTGCTTAGTCTACAAAATAACTCACCTAGTTTTTAACAAATAATTTAGCCATGGAAGTTTTAGTTGGTTAAATACCCTCAATCTTGGATGAGTTGGTGGCTCAGTCAGTATTGCAATGGGCAAGAATCCACGACAGCATTTAGATCCATCCTGGTGACTTTACTAATGTCTGTCAGTAGGTACAGTTTATTCTTGAACTGTATAGGATGATTTTTTGCTTTGCTTGATAAGTTCTACAGGCCCCAGGTCCATGTGGAGAGTCAATAAGATTGATTGCAGCCATTAAACATAACATTTTGTGATAGGCATTGTTACAACAGTACTTAAAAATAGTGTCATACGTCAGTTATAAATTTCAATATATACAATATCCTATTTAGATTCTAAACATGATATGTCACTATTTAAAAATTCTTCCTGAGTGTAGAATGCGGAACACCAGCATTCAATTCCAAAATATCAGAATAATCATCTCCTATCACGTGCTGTTTACAGTTTTCAAGGTAGGATTGAATATGATGTTTAGTTCACGGTTCCTAATGCCATAGTAATATAGTTTATCAAAAATAATGGGATGGGAGATTGTGTCGAAGGCCTTGGTCAAATCAATAAGGCATGTACCTGTCACCGACTTGTCTTCAAACAGTTCAAGCCCTTGCAAAACTAGGTTAATTAATTCTTCTACAGCCTTTGTGGTTGAACAGTTGGCTTTAAAGCCGTATTGACCTTTATATAAAAGATTGTTCACAGTTAAAAAAGTGTTGTAGCTGCTCAAGCATACATTTTTCAATTATTTTTCCTAAGATTGGAACCAAAGCTATTGGGCGATAGTTTGATGGGACATTCTTGTCGCCTTTCTTGTGAATGGGCGTTACTCTGGAGGTTTTTAAACAATCAGGAATCTTGCCGTCAATCAAAGCAAAATTTATAAGATGTGTTAAAGGTTCCAGGATAAAATCAACTAAGTATTTAAGAGTAAAATTGGAGAGTCCAAACAAATCTTCATTACGGGAACCATAGTGTACATAGTTTACAGACCAAAGAATGGACTTGTTTATCAACAAGGCTCCATTTAAATGTCCGGATGTCAGGAGTATTAGAATATGGTATAGGACAGTTACTCAATAACTTAATTCAAAATGAGTAATTACTTTATCATCATTATTGAGTTTATTTTGTGTGTTGTTTGAAACAGAAGTAAAGAAATCGTTGAGAGTGATGGGTGTTAAAGTTGTTTTGGAAAATGTTTTAATCTGTCCTGATTCTTTTCTGATTATTTCCCAAGCTTATTTGCATGTATTTTTGGATTGAGTAAGTTTGCCATTAGCAGTAATTTTGGCTTCTCTTACCTTGTTTGTATATACACGCTTTGAATAATTCAGAGAGTGATTATTATTCTGGGAATAAAACAATATTTAGAGAGAGTTATGAGAAAAGACAATAAATAAGATAGAAAGTAAAATGAGAAAGAGTAATGGTAAATAGGACCAGAGGGGTAATATGTGGAGAGATGGAGATATTGAGATTAATGAATATGAGAGAGTGAAAAATGAACACACATTTAATGGTTACAAGAGAACAATAACTCTGTTTATTTACATTTGAAATACAACACATGTTAACAATATAATAAAAAGGAATAATTTAATATGACAACAAACACATGTTGCTGAGAAGAGAGTTAGTTTTAAGTAAAACAAAGAGGATGAATTTAAATGTTCAAGTTTACCGAACACGCTTCTATACCTTTTAAAACTGTTCATATAATTTTACATTCTTGCTACATTTCCATTTGTCATAAAATAACAATAAATATTAACCCATTGTCTCCAATTCTGTAGTAAACCAAATATTACATCTATTGACCTTAATATTACTTTTCACATTTACAACAGGACAGTACAAATTAAAATCTGAAATTAAAACCCTGAAATTAAGAAAAAATGGAAAAGCTAAGTTCGTGTCATTAATAGAATACAAGGTAGACCAATCGATATTACTTAACTTATTGACAAAATTTTCAAGTCTGGTTGATGATACAAGGATGGTTTCCTATTGTAAGAATCCTCTTTGTTATCTAAGCAACTGTTGTTCTTATTTTTACTAATAAAGAATTTTAAAACTACTTCAGCATGATCTGATATTATTCCCTCCCCAGTGATGTAACAGTGAAGCAAGGCTTGCTAAGATTTGAGCATAAGGCTTGAGCAAGGCTTGAGAGGCAAATGGGTTACAAAATTTAATAAAATGTAAATCAGTGTACTTTTACACAGGGAATCGACAGCACCTAGTGGGTAAGCCTAGCAGCACAGCTATGATGGGAACTGTGAGCAACTCTAGCGTCGGAGGTATCATAACGTCCCCATTCTTCCCCAGCCAGTACCCTCGGGACCTCGGCGCTGAGTACATCATCAGCTGTGAGGCAGACGCTGGTGCCAGTTGTAGAGTCAGACTTCTGTTTAACGACTTCCAGCTGGCCGGAGTCTCAATCATGGAGGTTGGGTTAGGTGTTGTGTTCTTATAAACATTTCAAACACTCAAATCACATTTCTATCAAACCTTGTTATCCTGCATAACATTTACAATAATAGTAGGTATATTTCATCTCTAGGGCCTAAAGTGACTCTTTTTGATTAGAGCTCAAGTTTTATGATCGAAGCGGAGCCGAGGTCGGAAAATGAGCGAGGGTTGAAAAGACACTTCTTGCCCGTGCGATGAACTATATTTTTCGTCATATTGCACCATTATTTGAACAAAGTATGTTACAAAACTAAAATAGTTATCTTTGAACACCTCTCAAAACTACTTCTAGTTCCAACTAATTTTATTTTAATTTCCTAATGGAAACAAGCAGCTGTTTAGTAAGTTATTTAATCGTTTCGTCTATTCATTATGAACAACGCTAGGAGATTCATTATAAAAATCAATTCAACAAGAAAAATCAATATAGCCTAGTGGAGAATGACATGTTTGATGCCATGAGTAAAATGGGAAACAGACACCTCAGCAGATTTTGCGCACACAATATCTGCTGATTTTACTTATCTTCGTTACATGTCTGCTGGAGTTGCGGTCAAATTCAGGTGTAAATGGGGTAATAATACAGAATCAGATTACATATCTGAAAGACTAACATGCCAAAAGATTTTGAATGGACCAGTAGTATACAGCCTGGTAACCAAACCAAATTACTATGGTAAACCTTCAATTCAAGAATATGATAGTGCTTTCAGGCAATTGACAGACGATTTTACAAAAAGAGAACTTAAAGCATTAGTTTGTTCCCCAATGGGATGCGTGAGAGACTTAATTAAAATAGACCATTTCTTCAACAACCTCTTTGAATTCCAACACGCTACAGATGCCACAATTTATATTGTGTGTTACAATCAAATATCGCCTCGGGTTTTGAGGAATGGACTCTCTCACCATGACTTTGTTAGTGCTCTGAGAAGAACGTTGAGTGAAAACAGTACAGTGAAGTGAATAGTACGGTGAAGTGGACTGCTCAAATACTAAAGAACTCATGCCTCGAGATTCATACTACCAACATCTCACAAGTAGTAATCCTCCTGTAGAAGTGGTTTTGACGACTGACAACGATGCAGGTATTACAGTAGACGCAGGAGGAACTGATGTCACTTTTGGGTCGCGCAGCCAACCAGAACATCCTCACCAGACTGATCCACGTACTGTATATGCTCATGGTGGCAATGAGCAAGCTACTGGCAATACAAGTCAGGGGACACAGCATCAATCAGCCACTGTACACAACCCAAACACCAGCAGCCTCCCTTCAACCATGCCAGCATCTTCGTCCCACAGGCCACAGCAGGCTTCAGTGCAGCGAGACAAAGCCAGCAGCAGTTTGGTAATTGTGTTGTGGAAAAGCAGAGCATAGCTCAAAGTGAAGTGATCAAGGGAAATCAATTTAATACACAAACAACAGATGTGAACCTTTTAAGCTCTACTTTAAACTCTCAATAAATTACATCTCAGAGTCCCAGTTGGATGAAAACAACCTAAATATCGGAAATCTAAAGATTTTTCATAAGAATATTCAAAACTTAATAACTTGAATTGACCAATTGGAAGTATCATTAACAGAGATAGATCCTGATATAATTGTTTTATCAGAACATAACATAAATCACTATGATATGGAAAGATTTAACCTTGATAATTACCAAAAAATAACTCATTCTCGCACCACAACAACTGGATGAGGTGTTTTAATCTTATCAAAGGAGAGCATAAAGGGGAAACCACTGCTATTAAAAATGGGAGAAGAGCTTTGCCAAGATAAATTGTTGGAGTTTTGTTGTGTTAAATTTAAAGTATAGTAGATAATTTACACTTTTTGCTGGTAGGAATTTATAGAACCCCACACTTTGAAAACTCAGAGTTTTTAAACCGACTGAATAAACTAAATAATAATCTAGTAAGAAAAAAAAAATTGATTATAATTGGTGAGTGACTTTAATATTGACACTCTTAAAGATTCACCAGAGCTAAAAGAGTTAAAACGTATTCTACTGAGATGTGGTATGAATTATATAATAGATTTTCCCACGATATTCTATCTCAATATCTACCTCAAAAACGTGCATAGATAATATTTTAACTAACATTCATAAGGATCAAATTAAAACTGAGGGTATTGTAAAAGCCTTATCAGATCATGACAACTCATTAGACAAGTCTTTAGACCTTACAAGTGTAGATATTGTAAATAAATCTAATGTATTCAAAGTAGCTTTCCTAAATGTTCAATGTCTCAGGACTAAATTTAATCTAATGCCAATATTCTGCTGTGAGAGCAAGCTAAATATCCTATGTATCAGTGAGCATTGGTTGGTTGAAGAAGAACGTGATTTTTACTCATAATTAGAAAACTTTCAACTGGCATCATGCTTCTGCAGAAGGCAAAGGCTTGGTGGAGGAGTGGCTATCTTTGTAAACGATACCCTAGAAATAAAACAATTAGACTTGGAAAGATACTGCGCTGAGCTAGATTTTGAAGTGTCTGGAATTGAGTTATTGGGAACACAAATGATATTTTTTAGTGTTTATCGCTCTCCCAACGGCAACATTGACAATTTTTTTGAAGGACTAGATATCTGTCTCTCTGATTTATCCAATTTAAAGAAAACAATCATACTAGGAGGTGACTTCAATATTGCGCTAAACTGTGACGAACTACACACAAGAACTTTTACAAACCTACTCCGAGCACACGGCCTATTCATTACCAGTGTCGCATCGACGAGGGGAAACCGATGCTTGGATACCATCGCCACGAACTTGGACTTGTGGGATTATGAGGTAGAAGTAACTGAGCCTCTGGTTGCGGATCATGGAGCAGTTTTACTGAGTACACACAACAGCTTGGTGAGTAGCACTCCAATATTTCCTGCTTGGCATCTAGAGTATACTAGGAGCTTTAGAATTATTAAAGAGAATCGTCTCCCGCAATTCAGGTATAGCTTGTCACAGATTGACTGGGGTCGTGTTCTGCAGGTAAATGATCCGGAAGAGTCTTTTGCTAATTTCTTATAGTAAATGATATCTTTAATGATTACTTTCCTTCCAAAACTGTCAGAATTTCTCCTAATAGGCCTAAGTTAAGTAAGGTTAAACATGGTAGGTTGGAGGTCAATTCATGGTATACGCCAGACCTGGCTAGATATAAGAATCTAGTTTTAGCCTTAAGAGACAGGTACCTATCGGCCTCTTGTGAACACTTGAATGAACATCTTCGTTTTATGTATAGCAAAGCTAAAAATTCCTACAAACTTAAAGTAGATGAGGCAAAAAAACTGTGCAATATAAAAAAAAAAAAAAAAAAAAAAAAAAAAAACAGAAACTGCATTAAACCCCTGCAAGGCAGCTTGGTCCCTAGTAAACGAGTCCAGAGGGAAATCTAGTTCTAAAACTATGTTAAGCAATGCTAGCCCAGACGAGTTTAACAGGTTCCTAGTGGATAATGTGCATGATATTGTTAATAGCATTCCAAATACAGACTTGAACCCCCTGAATAGTATGAATGGCCTAAGTCAGCCGACCGCAGATAACCTAACCAAATGGAATCCTGTAGATTCAATTTACATAAGGAAATTAGTTTCTGGGCTAAAACCATCTAGTAGTCAGGATATTTATGGGATGACCACATTAGATCTTAAGGCAATAGTGAGTGAAATTGCGCATCCATTATAGCTATGGTTATAAACAGCTGCCTAAAAGTAGGGGCCTTTCCCAAAATCCTAAAAGTGGCTCGTACGGTACCCATATACAAAAAGGGTGACCCGTCCAACTTAAACAGCTACCGGCCCATCTCATTGATACCGGTCTTTAGTAAAGCCTTGAGTCCGTCATTAAAGATCAGTTGGTGAATTATTTTGAATCGAACAATCTGCTCTCAAACCTACAGCATGGGTTCAGAAAGAACCATTCAACAACTTCTGCCGTCTCTGAATTGGTTAACAGAGTGCAAACTGCCTTTGAGGCATCCGACTCGCTTGCCTTAACACTTTGTGACTTAAGCAAAGCGTTTGATTGTATATCACACAGCATACTTACAGACAAACTTGAACGCTATGGGGTTGGGGGCGTGGCTCTCACGTTAATCAAGTCCTATCTGGAAAATAGGCAGCAGGTAATCTCTCTTAGCGGTGCCCAGTCAAGACCTCTGACAATCCAACACGGCGTTCCTCAGGGATCGGTCTTGGGACCAGTACTATTTCTGGTATCAATCAACGACCTTGAGCTAAATGGTTCTTCTCTCAGGTTTGCAGACGATACCACCATCTTTGCAACGGGCTCTACCCCTGCGCGTGCGCTAGACACGGCTGAAACACTTTTTGATGAAGCTATAAGGCATGGTTCTCAGCCAACAGATTTAAGCTGAACGAGGAGAAGACCCAAAAAATCGTATGCACCCTAACTCGATATCCCCAAATCGAAACCAAAGTCCATCTGCTAGGTTTCACCATCGACCCTAAACTGACGTGGGCAGATCATATCGAAGTTGTTTGTAGAAGGCTGTCAATAGTCGTGTGCCTGTTACGCAAGCTTACCAAGCTAGTAACTCCACAATATTTAAAGGTGGTCTACCATGCTCTTTTCCATAGCGTGCTGAGCTATGGCCTACTGCTCTGGGGGCATGCGCCTAATTGTAATGATGTTCTCTTGCAGCAGAAGAAGGCTGTCAGGACTATAACTTTCAGCAAAAGACTGGACCACTGCCAGCCTCTTTTTGTTGAAACAAATATCTTAACGGTCTTTAGCCACTTCATTCTACTATGTGCAACACATGTTAAAAGCAACATCCATAAGTTTCCAACCAGAGATACCGTTCATAAACACCAGACAAGACGACACCATGAAATTGACATTCCCTTCTGTAGACTTGCTAAGACGAAGAATGCCTTCCCGACCATAGCAATTAGGATCTACAACAGCTTGCCCCAAAAAAACCTTGATATAAAGAAATTTAGCACTGCCCTTAGGTCCTGGCTAGTAACCAAACCTTTTTATAGCCTTGACGAATACTTTGAAACAGTGAATAAATAGGGTTGATCCACCGCCATAATTAAAAGTGATTGTATGTATATATTGTAAATAGAAATTATCAATTATTATTTTTATTTTTATTTTATTATGACACAACCTATCCGGCAAAGCTGGTCTTGGTGAAGAGGAAGGTAATCAGGTAATCAGGTAATCATGGAACTACTCACACGTCCTAAAAAGATATATAATACTACAGTACTCTGAATTACTGGGGTAGAAATTTTTCCCTAGACAATATGAAATTGTTCGAATCACTATTGGAAAAAGAAAATTAGTTTACTCTTTTTAATTCAAGTATAGAAAGTAAATATGACACATTCCACAATATCTTACAATATTACTTTAATTTATTTTTTCCAAAAGTCAGAAAAAAATTACAAGCACCAAAAGAGAACAAATTTGATTACAAAGAACCTAAAAAAGAACAAAAATGATCTCATTGAATTAAACAACCTAGTCCTCGCCACCCTAACTTGAGGCAGCCCAAGGCCGCACTAGATATATGTCGTGCGGCCTTGGGCTGCCTCAAGTTAGGGTGGCGAGGACTATAGTTCATGAATCCGGGTCGGAGGTTCTTAAAACTCAATTAACGAAAAAAATGCAACAATATAAATTAAATGTCATGAGTGCAAAACGTAATTATTAGTGATAAAATTAAAAACTCTAAAAATATATAATTAAAACTTTGTGGAACATTATTACTATTATTAGTATTATTATTAGTAGGGACGCCATTCAGGATTCTTGTCATTCGCCTATTGGGTCTGATGATGATTGGAGTGTCCAATCAAAATCGATCACTACTTAACATCTTTTGTGTATATTTACCGTCTTGTGAGTAACAGTATAAGCGTGAATATATGTTTTAAGTGTTATAAGATGTTTCTTTTATTTACTTTCCAGAAATTATTAATAAGGAGACGAGAAAAACTCCAGCCAACTTATAATAAAATCATGTTTTAAAACTAGGTAATTGTGAAGTCTCAAACCCATTACATGTTGCTAATAGTGTTTTAATAACTTTTTTGTCAGTATAATTGAAAATATGTTAGATGGTAGATCAGATCAAGCTGTTGGTATGAAGGAAAGTAATAAACAGATCCCAACTTTCATGTGTCCGCTAATTGACGAAAGTGATATAAATAAAATAATCGACACTCTTAAAAATAAATGGTCCAGTGGCTTTGACGAAGTTCCAATAAAGATTATTAAATATGCCAAGGAGTCCCTGTTAAAACCCTTAAAGCATATGATAAATTCTTCCTTTATTTCAGGCATTTTTCCAAAACAACTTAAAATCTCTAAGGTCATACTGGTGTACAAAAAGGGGTATTCAAAATTATAGACCAATTTATATTCCTCCATCAATATCAAAATTTTTTAAAAAGAAATGCAATTAAATCTCATAAGACACCTAGAACTATATGATCTTTTTAATCACGAACAACATGGCTTTCGAGAAAATAAATCCACCCACTGCTTTAATAAGTTTTGTTGAATCAATCATAGTCATTAGATAAGCAAGAGAAAGTTACCACAATTTTTACGGATTTATCAAAAGCCTTTGACAGTATTTCCCACTCAAAAATGATTGACAAACTTATTAGCCTAGGAATCACAAATTCATATTTAAAATGGTTTGAATCAGAGAACAATATATAGAAGTATCAAGAACTGGCAATATTCAAGTCAACATCAGAAAAAGTTAAATATGGAGTACCCCAAAGGGTCAATACTTGGACCATTATTATTTATCTGCTACATAAGTGATATGCCGAATTGCCTAAATAAATTAAACTCTATCAAAAATTACCTCTTTTTGTACGCCGATGATTCAAACTTTATAATGTCTGGTATAGAATTAGAAATTCACTCCTTTGTGGAGTTAGCAAAAATTAAAGATTTCTTTAATAGGTACTCACGATTTAATTTTGAACACTCATAAGACTAACTGCATATCATTTTGCACTAAACAAAGACAAATTAAAGAGGAAATAAATATTTTCATAGATAATGAGGAAATTATGCAAGTTGAAAATACTAAATTTCTTGGCCTTATCATTGATAGAAATCTAATTTGGGATCTGCACGTGGATAATGTCTTAAAGTGGATAAATAAATATTTGATACGGAGGGCAATTTATTCATTTGATGACTTTTTAATACTTTAGATCAGATAATAGATCTTAAAATTCAGAAAACAGCAACGTGGAGAAGTGTGATCAATAATGCCCTACCAATCATGTTGATTGTAGCCTACATTCATGTAAGACGTTATCTTAAAATTTATTTTGTTTTCTAGCTTAGTTTGTTAATTAATGATGCAATATATATGACAAAAAATATAGTTTACCACACAGGCAAAAAGTGTCTTTTTACCCTCGCTCATTTTCCGAGTAAAACCTGACCTCGGGTCAAAAAGAGTCACTTTAGGCCCTAGTGATCAAATACAAATATACTGTAAGCCTATCGGTGATTACCTACTTACAATATTTATTTTGCACTATATTCTGGCCATGAGTGTGACAGACTGATAAGAACAAAATAACAATGGTGAACATAACATTCAAAGTCTTCCAATGGAAAGTTGGGTTGTAGATCCAACACAAAGAACTGGCAGTTTAACTACATGTATTTCCATAAAAAATACACAAAACAAAAAATCTATGTAGAAAATTATAAAATGATAATTTTTGGATTAAAACACAGTTAAGCACGGTTCTTTTGGATGAAAGATACGTCTTTAAATGTATACAGATCATTATTTTCTGATTCTGTGTCAAAACCATAGACAAAAATAATGAAATATAGACCGACAGCATCAGTGCTGTGGTTAACATATGTTCTGGCGTCCACCGCTAGGAGTGCTGTGTAGTTACGGCTCACACCGCTGCAGCGTCTACGGTGAGAAGCCGACGACAGCAGCGAATCAAACACCAAGGATGCTCTAGGGGCACATCGCGGAACCTTCCTTTGACAGTCTATATTTATTCTATTTGTCTATGGTCAAACGAGATTTTGAATCATTTAAAAAATCTGTTATGTGTTTCATTCTATACTTTTATTGGCAAGTCTAATGACATATATCTTGTACATATATATCTTAATAGATATATGTATTCTAATATAAGATGGGTTTAGTTCAAAGATCTCTTTATTCTTTGCTGCATAATTTTCCTGGTATATTTTGGTTGCAGTTTTATGACTGGAATGGACAAAGGATCGAGGTAAGCAGTGGAGCTTTATTTCGTCCACCAGCCATCATCACGTCAGGACCTTCGCTGCTGGTCCGCTTCTACGCAAATGGAGGATCTTCAATTGGCTACAAAGCTTCATATTCATTCATTTCTGGTAATAAAATTAATCATAAAACTGCAATGGTAAAAGAACGGGTCTTACACTGTAATTTATAATTAATTATAAGTATGATTCAAAGATACAGGAGTCGTCTAAATTATTTAAAGAAACAGTGCAATGAAAAATAGTATTTGCAATGCTGCAATCAACTAACTCACACATCTTGATGATGCTGTGTAGAGATTGTAGCTGACTAGGGCATCTGTCCCGAACGAGGATCCAAAAGTCAAGTATCGGAGTGATAACACCAACAACCACAGCAGTGACCATGAATGACCAGCATCAACCAAGTGCTGTGGCAGGATGCTAATTAACAATACTAAGTTTTGTGTGCATGAAACTAAAGCATCTGTCAACCCTGCTACTTTCTTTATTTTTCATCGTAGGCCTACTGTAGCAAAAACTGCCTTTTTAAATACATGCACTGGGGAACAACACACAGCACAGTAGCTCTTTTCCTCCCTAGGGAGTAAAAGTCAGCTGTTTTAAACTCACTTGTAAACTTTGATTGTAAGCAATTAAATTGCATGTAAAGAGGTAATGTATCACAATTTAATCGGTTATCTTATTGTTGCATTCTTGTTAATAGTTGAACATATTGATAGAATAATGTACACCAACACAATCATAATAGTCAAATTAATTGAATCACTTACCAAACAGCTGCTTGTTTGCATTAACAAAATTTCAAACAAGTTGGAAGTCGGTTTGATAGTCATCTAATGTTATCCTTGTTTTTAATTTTGTTTGCTTAAAAATGTGCAATATGACAAAAAATATGGTTAATCACACGGCCAAAATGTGTCTTTTTTACCCTTGCTCATTTTAGCGAATATCTATATAGGGAATTAGCTATTATCTTAGGGGTCACAATAAGACCTAGAGCCGGGACGGATATACTTTTTAATTTTGATATCCCTAGAGGCCAAAAACACTATTCGTTCAAATTTATATATATACAGGGTGGCTGAAAAGTAACTTACACCCCCCCCCCCCCTTAACTTTTCAACCATTTGAGATATTTGAAAATCGGTTTGCGGCAACCTTCTTAGATATGAGGGGCTATAATAATGGTAACTAATTTAGAAAATTTTGCCCTTATACATAAACAATATTTTTATGTATTTTATGGTCTCTTAATATTTTAATATTATATTATTGTTTGAAATAATCTAAAATCAACAAACGGTCCAGGGGACAACACCTAGAGCGTTGGCGTAATTATCCTAGCAATCACTTAGCAAAAAACTGCTCTCAGAACCTAGCACCCTCCTCACTTGCTAGCTGCTAAAGCTGGGGAGAGGGCAGGTCAAGCAAGTACTTGCTCTTATCACTGGACACGGCCATTTCAGGAAAAATCTCTACACTCCAGGAATTGTCAATGACAATCAGGAGTGTCGACTTTGCAACCAGTCTGATGAGACTGCAAAACACGTATTATTCTGGACTGCCAAGGACTTGGGGCTAGGAGAAGGGCTCTGTTTGGTCTAACACAGCCAGGTGATGAACCAGACGCTAACATTGGGCAAAAGCTCCTGCACCTAGTCAAGGACACGGACACAGGCATAGGCTTACCCAGTTATTGTGGCAAGTGGGATGCACAACAAGCTTCGGTTGACGTACTTGAACCACGAGTCCACCCCTTTCACAATACATACATACATACATCTAAAATGGATAGATATCTTGCAAAGCGGACAGAGACTTTTGCATTGTTGCGGCAGACTTTAGCCGCATGCCTCAGCATGCACTGCAACTAACCTCCAGCGGTCACGTATCACTAAAGCTACCATATCTTAGTTAATATTCGTCCAATCTTAAAAAATAAGTTGTCAATTGATTTTTAATTAAATTGCCTATAAAAGTTACTCTTGTACAATTTTTGTAAAATTAACCGTTTTTTAATTATTTAAGGAACTAAACTATAAATGGCCGCCATTTTGTTTTATGAATTTGAAAAATCATCATAATCTTTTTGTAGCTTTGTCTGGTTCTCATATTAATGTTTGTGTTTTCAATTCCTTATGCTTAACCATTTTTTAGAAAAAAAAATAATAAACAAAAAACAAAATTATGGCTGTTTGAGTAACTAAGGACTTCCTGGCAGTTTAAATATGACATTTGGATATGTTTCTTACCCAGGAATAATACCCTAAAAATATCTGACACAAATTCTGGAAACACCCTGTATATGCTATATAGATCCTATTCTATAATACGAGTAATGTCTGTTTGTCTGTCTGTCTGTAACATATATCTCGAAATCCAGCGGAAGGATTTTGAATAAATTTTAGAATTAGGGACTTGTGGCTCTAAAAACGTGATTGGGGACACCATCTACCTCAGGAAAATTCGTTGCTACACAACTCGTTTGAAATTGTTAAAATTTAACATTAGCCTTATGGGTTGCCAAGTAACTATGTTGGTTGAATAAAATAACAAGGAAATACCCCTGCCGCAGCAAACCAGAAGACTAAGTGAATTTCCATTTGCCTGACTTGATTTTCAATTACAGTAAATCTATTCAAATAATATTAGGTTTAACAAGTACCTAGGTTTGCTGCCTAGAGGGAGGGTAATAAAGTGTGTTTTTTTTTTCAAAAAATATTAATAGCTTAGTATAAAATGAATATATTTGCCAGGTTTGGTCCAAATATATCCATAAACAAGCAAACTACAACAGTTCACTTATCTTACTAATATTATAAATCTGAAATTTTGTGAGTTTGTGTGTTTGTGTGTTGCTCAATCACGCATAAACTACTGGAAGGATTGGGCTGAAATTTGGCATGATGATGGCTCACATTCTCTATTAACATTTAGGCACATTCTTATCTCAAAAATCCTTTTGTGCTCCGCCCTAGTGGCTCTGATAGTTTCCCATGTTAACCTTATGAGTACTTATATTTAAATGGAATTAAAGAATCTTAACAGCTGGTTCAACTAAACAATTTGATTCTGTGATGTTTAATAGCATTAAAAAGTGAATAGGGAGCACAAACAGGGGGTTAACAGCACTATTATTTTTTTATTTATGAAAACAGCTAATTTGCAACCAAAAGGTGAGTGAGCATTTCGAACGAACTTCAACCTGGAGGCGAGTTAGCGTAGCAAACAAGCTAAACCTGAAGGCAAGTGAGCGCAGCGAACGAGCTCCAACCTAATGGCGAGTAAGCGTAGCAAACGAACTTCAACCAGGACATGATTGAGCGATGCGAACGAGCTCATCTTGAAAATATTTTTGGTTAAGTTTTCGAACACTGGACAACCTCTAGTTTTATGTAATAGATTTTATTAAAAATCCAATCGGGTAAATGGAAATTTGCTTAGTCTGCAGGTTTGCTGTGGTGGGGGTATTGTACCTCAGCTTTGCCATGTTTGTGAAACTTGAGCTCGGGTCGAAAATAGTCATTTTACTCCCAAGTGATGAGATAAACTAACTATAAGGTTGAAGAGTGCATTGAACTAGAAAAGCCTTTGTAGGTTTTGGACCCATAGTAACTTTATGATAAAGTCACAATAAATACCATTATAATGTATTTACTATTTTAAAGGAAAGCCAATTGCCTATATAGCAAGGGATTTGTTTGAAAAGGAAATCAGCTAGTTTACCTGAGAAAATTGGAGTCCAGGGGCTAATAGATACACAATACAAGGACACGAAACCCAACACTGATATTTCATCCTGATGTAGGACTTCTTCAGAGACTAGCTGTTCTTTAATCATTTTCTCTTCCACATACTCTCCTCGCAGGGGCGGCTCCAGAGTTTTGGTAGATATTTCAAAATTATAAATAAACAAAGAAATTTAATTATATGTAGATACACGGAAAGCATTAAACCTTATTATTTTGCATTTAAATTTTAAAATGTTCCCCTTTTTGCTCCACAAAGCCCATAAAACTCCTTCTTGACCCTAGTCTGGCCTATCCAAAAAATATTCCTGGAGACGCCTCTGTGAAAGATTCCTACATCAGGACGAAATATCAGTGTTATGTTTTGGCTTCTCCATCAATGATGAAATCTATTAATTTAGTTCATCCAATTTGTTCAAACTGCAATATATTTACAGTTGACTATAGTTAATGGTATCATTTCTGATTATCTGTTACAGGAAACTATGACGAAAAGGCTGTAGAACCCATAACAGGTATGATATAACAAAATTTTCTTTACAGTTAATTAAGATTTTTGATTAAAGCCATAAAACTCAAAAAAACACATTTATAAACATAAAAAGACGCTTTAATGGGAGGTTTTGGGCGCTACCAAAAGAAGAGATTTTTCCAACTTTTCCATTGAACTTAGCCAATGACACACTGTCATCCAGTAGCTGCAAATAATTTGCATCTGTGTGTTATTTTTATGAGGTCCCGGATCAACAGTTGATGACATTATTATATTCAAGTGGAACTTTATACAATAGCAGTGACATCTAAAAAAAAAAATTGTGTCCTCTAAATGAATATTTTTTAAAATAAGCAATTCAATACTCGAAAAAGGTACCTGGGGCCCTATTTTTGAAATGGTTGACAGTTGAGTCTATCGTCAACACTCAACTCAACCAACAACAGGATTTGGTATTTTTGAAACCCAACAGTTGGGAAGCGAGTTGGGAATCACTAGTTGAGTGACTCGTTTTGGAAATGTAGGGCATACGACCGCACGAAATTCAGATGACGTCATTTTGAACCAATCACAATGCAGAGTTCTTGCAATCTTCGATTTAACCTCTTCCTCTTCTTACTCTAAAATCTGGCAGCTAATCTCAATCTACCATATTTCGAGATACTGAGGTAAACTGTCAACTCCGTTCTTGAGAGATTGAGGTTATGTCTTGCTTAATCTTAGTGATTGCAAAAGTACCTTAACTTATAAACTATATATATAAACTTTAGTATTAATAATAAAATTTACTATGGATGTTTGTTTTAGGGTGTAGCTAATCATAAGTTTAGGCATATCCTAAATACATTATTATTTGCTTTCTTCGTCTCTATTTCGGAACACATCACCTTATTTTAGTTTCCTTCATCGGTTTATTTTATGTTATTTTTAATTGTGTTATTATTTAGGTTAAAGCGGCTATTTGCCATTGGACTGAAAGCATATCGTAACTTAAATTAATTTGATCCCTTTATTAGGTGAATGGTATTGAAACAAATTATGATATTGTTTCTCTCTACCACAATCTTTAATACCTTAAATCATAGGTCTAATAACAATAATTATCTTATAATAAGTTCAATTAGTATGCCTAGTCTATTTCAAACATACCAACAAGGATAAAACCCTTGATTAAATAGTCTAGTATTGACACAGTAAATAAAATTAAAATGCAATTATTCTACAGAAAACAATCGCATAAAGTATTGGGTGCTAATACATTGACATTATTGACAACAAATACATAACCTCTAAATCGCAAGTAATAAATTAAAGCAACAACAATATGGCGTTGACTCAAAAAGAGCAATTTTTTACCGAAAGAGGAAGAAGAAAGTGCAGTCAACCGTCCTCTCAACAGCTCAGTAGGTGGTGAGTAGTTTTGGTTGGATAAGTCGACCGTCAATCGTTTCAAAAATACGAAACGATTGGAAATAGAACAACTCGACACTCAACTCAACAGTCAACCATTTCAAAAATAGGGCCCCAGGTGAAGAAGGGATTTATTTAGGTGTAGATTCAGTTAACACTAACAATAGTCCTCAGACATAGCAGTTCTAAAGCCTTGAAGGAAGTGGTTTCCCACAATACCATAAGATGAGTCTTGAACTTTGCACCACTGACATGCTAAAGAGACGATTGGACACATTAAAAGGCATAGTCAATGAAACTCAAATGAAAGTTACTGGACTGTATGAAAATACAGGGTTATTAAAAAAGAATGGTGCAAAAATAAACAGTTGGTACGCCTGTTTACATGATTTCAAACAGCTGATTGTTACACCAATGGAAAGGGCCTGTTTATAAGTTTGTTTTGGCAAGGTTTTGATTTGCCTCATTTGCTCAGTTGAGTACCACAAAGCCTGCCAACAAATGGCTACTACAAAACCAGAAAAGGCCCTTTGTGTTTTAGGGTTTGCTCCAGGGGTGCCCCCCCCTCCACAAAGCTCACGTTGGAGAATCCCCCCTCCCCCAAATTCGTTGTTTAACCCATGCCAATTAACCAATGCCAATTAACGTTGTTTAACCCATCGTCTCTTGACTCTTGACTCTTGCCAGGAGATCTGGTGCTTAAACTATAGTTAAAATGCAGGGGGTGTCCCCGACACTTCTTTAAATTACTCAGAAATATTTATGGGAATTTAAGCTTTTGAATCAAACCTTTAACCCAATTTAAATGGACAATGTTTCTATAAAAAGTGCCAATTATTAGGAAAAACTCATTATAGGTTGGATTTTATCAATTCACAATTGCATTCAATTATCAAATGTACACTATATACCATTGGACTTTCGTGCACTTTTTGATTAAGTCAACTCTCAATAAAATTTACGGAATTGGGAATCCTTTAATTTTGTATAAAACATGTTATTCTATAATAAAAGGGGTAAGGAGGGTGGTGGATTTTTCAGACGTGGTAAGTATAGGATGCAACTAACTGCTTGAGTAACTTATTGAGTCGAACTCTAGTAGAACTCTAGTATTTTACATGAGTTGGATTTTCATAAAATAGCTGGACAGTTTGCTTCCAGTAAACCAATTTATATTTTGATGGAACCATAGTTAATTATTGTAAACATCTCATACAGCTTACATTTTTGATAATGCACCAACAATTATTTTCATAGATGTAAAAGACAGATCAACATGAGCAGTTGACAGAACCCCCAAAATTATCAATTATCAATTATTTAAGATGGGGACGCCACTATGTGTGTATTTTAACCCAAATATGAGTGAAGGATTGAGTGTAGGATGAGTGGCGCGATCTTGTAGTCTTGTTAGTGACTAAGGCCAACATGTTCCTTAGACACAGCTGTTAATTAATAGCCCATACAGCTAATGGCAACTAAGGGACCTACAGTTTATTGTGGAATCCGAACCACATTTTTTCCTCTTAATTAACGAATTGGTCTAATTATTATTAGGATAGTACTGCGGATAGTCGTAGTACTCATTAGTGTGGGCGTTAATCCACACCAGGGAGCATTGCATCCACAGTGCATCCCTATAAATATCCACAATTCGTGACCCCCTAGTAGCTGGATTACAGGACGACGCCACCCGTCCCAGTCATAAAATCATAAAATCCCCTAAAAAAATCTGCTGATGTTGCAAGTTGCGACATTAAACCCCCTTGTAGGCACCCCTGGTTTGCTTGTACTAATGTTATTGTTATTGTTCAGTCTAACTGAATTTAGGAAGAAGGCTCCACCTAGGAACTATGCAAAGTTTGTTGGGTGAGGTAATTCAAGACAACTGGATGTTTGTGTGCCGGTAAGAGTTCGTGCCTAGGGTGCGATCACATTACAGGAGTGAACAAATAGTTCAGACAAACAAGGAAACAAAAAGTTGAGCACAGCGTGATCATAGACACGCATTGCGCATCAGACACCTTGGACTCAGACTCTGCCAGAAGCTGTGGAGAGAATTAACGCTATTAAGATTGAGTGCAGACCAAAAACAAAAACCTTGACAGTCAAATTTGGTTGATCATTCAATGATTAAAATATTTCCCATACCGTACGTCATCGTAGTTATTATTAGTATGTTATATGATATCTCTTCCTTTGGAAGAACCTTTAAATAGTATTAAAATCGTATTGGTGGGTCTTTTGTAGTTAAACACTTCTGTGATTTCATTAGTGTAATATGATATTATTTGAAAAGAAAATATTTTTTGGGAAGACATATTATAACTTCAAAGGGAGGTAATCCGTTACAGATTAAGTTTGATTTTTCCTTCGTCACGTCGCGTCAGTTCATATCGTACTTCTGTGCCAATGAATGAACCCTCTAGCATTGTTTTGAGAAATTGATTGTGGGGTTACTATTAAAGCTAGAATTCCTTGACTTGGGGGATGTCAGTTAGTTGTCTCAGCCTTATCAATAACATAAAGTTGTCAAAATAATCACTCTACGGAATGTTAGGTGTAGTGGAATACTTGAAGTGAAGTTGGCCTTTATTCTTGAACTGTTAGGGGCCTCCTCATTTATATGGTCTTGTTGGCTTCATTGGCAACAAATAATGCAAATGACATAGCAATGGGACATTTCCAAAAAGCAAAAATACTGTTAATTGGCTGTTACGTATATATTGACGTTTAAATATTGGTAATCAACGTATCTTATAAAGGATTATGTGATCTAGTTTAAAGGAATATGACCATTCTGTCATGACAGTAGCTGCTTAAATCATATTTTCTCTTTGTACCATATTTTACAGCCAAAATGTAGTGTTATTTTCAATAATGTTACCAACCCAGTACGCCAAAGTCTGTAATATAAGCAGGTGCAAATAATTTGTCAAGATGGGTACCATTTTAGGGAAGAGGTTTCTATGTTTGGATTTTATTAGACACGATAAGAGCAGATATTTCAACAAAAATATTTGATATGACGTGTAGAATAATATGATAAAATGTAGGCAAAAGGGGTGAAAAAGGCCAACCCGTACAATAGATATAAGATAGTTCAATAAGAAATAATTTAAGAATTGCTGTGATAAAAGGATTTTCCACTGATTTCGTAATGGAACGTTATATTGCAAAACATGACATGATAAAGAGGAAAATCAATTTTAAAATCAGAAAATAACATTGCAAATACTTATTTGGTACAATTCAGTAACTCCCAATAAATAAGTGTTGTTTGAAATACAATTTAAAAATGAACAGCTGTTTTATTAAAAAGTATTATTCACATGGCCAAAACGTAAACAACTCTGTGGAGGGATCTTTAAATGCTTCTGGGGCAGAGCCCTAAGGGATTTTGCTTAGTTTTTCTTTTGATAACTCATCTAAAGACCAAGACCTTTCTTTGGACACCTCTACCAAGTTTCTACGCCCAGCCGTTCCTCTCAAATTAGTGGGGACAAAGTTTCCAATTAAATATTTAAATTCCCCCATGTTAATCTTATGGGAGAAAACACAACTTTGATGGCCTGTGGGGCAAAGCCCGAGGATTTTTATTACAGGAATTGG